TAACAATTTTAGAATAACTAATAGTAAATAATATATAATTTTCAATTAATATTAATTACTAACTAATAGTAATTAATTACAATTAATATAAATCAGTAATTGGAAAAAAAATATATTGCAAAACACTATTAAAACTTATTGAAATACAACTTCAGCATTTCAAAATCCAAGGAGAAATAAAAATCCCTTTGTGGTCAGGGAGGTTCAAATGTGACGACTCTGGACTATCTGTAAAGCAGATGGTTGCCGTGGGATTAATCGGCTCGCATAATAAAAAAAAATGCTCCAGTTTAAACCTTCATGGTAGGGTTTATGATTTGTATTTTTCTATGGTTTGGTTTGTGGTTTTCAATTATCCAAACCGTGGTTCAAAACACATTGCATCGCATATAATTTTTATTAATTACCACATATATATATATATATATATATATATATATATAATATAATATGATTTTATTGAATAAAAAATTATTATTCCATATTTGCTTAGTAAATCACTATTAAAAAGTATGTTATTTTAATGTAGTATTTTTGTTTCTTTATGCGTTAATATTTAATTTGGATGCATTTTAAGGGCATTTTATCAAATGCTTACTTGGGTAAGTGCTTACCAAGTCAAATTCCCTTACCGGATAAATATGACAAGTACCAAGAATCTTACCTGGTAAAAGCGAATGTATGGACTGAGAGTCTTACCCGGTAAGTGATGGCGGAGACTCTTACCACGGTTAGCATTTACCGAGTAAATTGTTACATACGATGTCGTTTTGGTAGACTAAAATCTTACCTGATAAGTATGCAATAGAGTTGAATTTACCGTTAAACACTTACCAGGTAAGTGTTTTGATAGACGGCCCCTTAGTTATATCATTTCTAGATACAAACCTAATCAAACTATCACACTGCATTTCATGTTGCAGTAATTTCCGCTTTATGACATGCACAGTTTTCGGTTTCTGGAAACCGCACCTGTAAACACTTGTACAAAATGCAGACCACAAAAATAATTTATAGAGTTACGAGTAAACTACAAATTTGGTTCATGTGGTTTGTTAAAAATAACAGTTTTTGTCTTTGTAGTTTCGAAATTAAAAGATAGACACCATGGTTTGTAAAAACGTCTGGATTTAATTCATCCTTTTAAGGTTATTAAAAGAATTCGTTAAATTAAGGACATTTTTATCTTTTTATCAATTTTTTGTTTTTTACACAATCAAAATCGATTTTATAATTTTGGTCCCTGTGGTTTTTTACTTGGTAAAAGAAAAAAAAACCCGATAAAATAACAAAAATACCTCTCATTTAACGAAATTTTATAATAGTCATCTTGTAATTTCGAAAAAAATAAATGAAAAATGTTATTTTCAACAAGGACCAAATTTGTAATTTATGCTAGATTTATTAAATACTAAGATATTTTACTAAATCTTAAGGACCAAAATTGTTAATTTACTCTTAGTGAGAAAATACAATGAAAAGTCAACTTTTTCTTTAACTCAATTTTTATCCTTAATATTTAGAGTCGTTGAGTTAAATGATCATTTTCTTCATTTAAATTGGTCTCTTAACCATTTCTCTCCTGGATTGTTCCAAAGATCACTACTTCCAATGTTGCGGACCTAACTAAAGACCAAAAATTGCAACAACCAGATATGCAATTGTGACGGTCATGTTTGCAATTACGACAGTCAGGTCCACAATTGGGAAGTCCAAGTCCGCAATTGCTACGATAAACCGATTGAATTTGATATTTTTTTGTCTTTTAGCTAGATCCGCAATATTATGGACCCATATATTGCAGATGTAGTGACATTTGGGTCAACCAGAGAGAGAAATGATTAGGAGGCTAATTTGAATGAGGTAAATGGTTATTTGAGCTAATTTCTCTAATTTTTAACCCACTTATCTCTCTCTCTCTCTCTCTCTATATATATATATATAATATACGTTATTATATATATAAAATAAAATTATACATATATTATTATATAGGCGAATGATCGTGTGAGAATGAAATTTATTATAATAAATGTAAGAAAAATCTTAACATTTAATCATTTTTAATCTCATGTCCATTCATGAATTGTGCTTTAGAAGAGAATTAATCTGATACATCTCGGTGCACCTCACTAGGGTTGACATTCAATTAAGATTGATTCAAGGGAGAAGATATCTTCTTACACTTCTCACCATAACTTCGCTTCTCACCGGAACCCAACCCTTATTATATATATAATGTAATTATGTACAATGTGAATTGCAAATTAAAGACCTTTTATATATTGTAATAATTGTGAGATCTTTTATTTTAAGATATTGTTTTATATGATTTTTTCATCTAAGGCTATAATTTAATATATTGATGAAGGGTTGGGTTCACATGAGACCAGCTTGTTTTCGTGAGACCCGTAAGACTAATTTTTTACACTTGAAACTTCACAACAAGATGCTGTGAAGGTAAAAAAAATTTGAACCTTTACAACAGAACAATATGAATGTTACATTCACAGTGTGTTTCTGCGAAGTTTCAAGTGTAAAAAAAATGGTATCATGGATCTCACGAAAACAAGCTGGTCTCACGTGATCCCATGTCAATTGATGAATATATATTTGTTTCAGAATGTATAGGTTTTATGGTTTACAATGTGAAACTTTTTTGCGTGTAACTTTTATTTCACAAACATGCTAAAAATGTTCAAATTGTGAAACAAATATATGATAACCAATATTTTACATCCTACTTTAAAATGAAAAAAAAATCATATAAAAGTACACATAGTGCACTGCTTTTCAAAGTTATCACAATTTAATTGGTTATCAAAAAAAGACTCCTATTACAACTATTACATATATTTTTATAAATAAATAAAAAATGGAACCCGTAGGAAATAGGGAAATTAATAGAAATCGGGGACACATTCCCGGACAATCTGATCTGGGAAGTATTTAAATAGCTCAGTATCCTCACAGTAGTATTACTTAAGCTGCGAAAAGAAGTATTGTTTATGATGAATCGTCCAGTCATGTGGTAACTTTTCTGCAACTAAGTAATTGACAGTATGTGCAAACCAAGGAAGTCTAGATATGGCAAAACTGATCATCCGGAAAAGATTCATAGACTTCTTCCTATGTCGGGATCTGATCTGTGTATGAGCTATTCGCAGACCGGTGTGAAAAGTGATTTTTTTTAATTTTCACCCAATAGCGAAGGTACCACTTACGGACCTGGGTTAAAAGTGAAATTTCTTTTTTTGTCTTTTAGTTCGGTTTCATGTCAAAGAGGTAGTGATATTTCAAAATCTACAAAAGAAAAATGACTAAGGGGTTGTTTGTTTATCTTTTAATAGTTCCATTAGGAGGCAGATTCTGAATCATTAAGAGGTGAATTTTGTTTGGAAAAAGAAAAGTCTGTCTTTTAATGTTTCTAAAATTCTCTGAAAATTTCTGTATGATATGCTCTCCTTAACCATTCAACGCCCTAATTTCATTGTAAATAATTATCAAACAATTATATTTCACTTTACATTATATATTAATAATCTCTTAATCATTCAGATGACTTAATCATTTTAAAAATGAGAACCATCCAAAAGATAAATATGGTTTGAAAGTTACAATTTAGTCCCCGGTGAAGAACCAGTTGTCCAAAAGGAAAGTGGTCGTACTACTATTGACTGCCACGTGGCATTCATGATGGATTTCATTCTTCTTATAAATGCTATAAAATCCCTCAATCTCCACCCTTCGGAATCGCCATTTCTCTTCTCTCACAAAATGACCAACCATCCATGGGTCGACGCCGCCGACGGCGATAACAATTTGGTCATCGACGTTCTCCGTAAACTCTATGAAGACTCACCGCCACCGCCGCCACCCCCACCACCACCACCACCACCGCAACCACAGCAGGACGCAGCGGTGACTATTCCCCTAAATTGGAGCGTCCGTCAACGTCGATCCAGACCACGGATCGCAAATCGTTCCACCGCGGGTTCCAAATCGGAAATCGCCGGTTCCAGCTCTTCCAATCCGTCAGCAAGTAGTAGCGTTACTGGTGCTACTTCCGCCACCGGCAATCTGATCGTCGGTGGTGTTGATGAGACCGGCGGAGGAACGGTAAGCATCTCCGACGTCTCTAGATCGAAGGCGAGAAATCCCTCATTTTCCGGTAGTTGTATAATTTTTGTGTCAGTCAGCTTCTTGTTGATGCAGGCTACTACTCATTTGCTTCTCGTGTTTGTTAAATTACCATAATACCCTCCGATTCTACACCCCTCCCATGCAACCTGTCGGAGTCACAATTAAACGTACAAGATTATCTTCGGTTTAATCTGACTCCGATACTTATGTTATAATTTTTCTAAAATAAAATATCAAAGATTAAAATCTGTAAAAAAATATTAAATCTAATTTCAACAGCATACTCTATTTTAGCAATTTTATCATAAATTATATTATTAAAATTTTTAATAAATTTAATAAAATATTATTTATACCTTTTAAATATTTAATTTCAATATCTTTAACAGGTAATATTATTCCTTTCTGTTTAATACGGGAGTTTTAAAGATTTTTTTAAATTTGAAAATATATATCAATTTATTTTTCTTTTCTCTATTATAATATACGTTATTACATAATTGTTGAAACTAAAATATGCTTAAAATTAACTAAAGAGTGGTGTATGATTGGTTTGAGCTTGACTCCAAAGGTCAAAAGTACCGAGAGGTCCAAGTTCAAATTTAAGGAGGAATAAATATTCCTTTGTGGCCACGGAGGTTCAAATACGGTGACTTCGAGCTATTTACAAAGCAGATGGTCGTCCTGGGATTAGTCGGCTCGCATAGCGGGTTGGATATCTAGGTTAATAAAAAAATATATAGAAAATTGGTGTCCAATTTAATTTCACAACCCTCTCCTTTTTGACGAAATTACCCTTTCCCCAAAAGGTTAATTTTGTCATTTTCTAGTTTTACAAAATCATAATTTTTTTAAATTAATTTTTTTGAGATTTGAAAGTCAAACCGGTTTATTGTTTTATAAATGGTAAAAGTTTCGAAATCACTTTTTTTTCTTTCTCGAATTCCATTTTAATAAATCGTGAAAAATATATTTTTCATTAATCAATTGTGTTTCAAATAATATTACTTCAAATGATCAAGTTTTTTGTTAAATCATTTATTCCGTAGTAATGTTTTTTTTGCTAATTCGATGTTCTATAAAATCTAAAGGGTTGTTTGACAGGTGCATAATGGTTTGGTGCAGAATGATTAAATGGTCAGAATGATTAAGAGACTTTCATGATATAGTGCAAAATGAAATATAATTGTTTGGTAACTTTTTACAATTATATTAGGGCGCTGAATGATTAAGAGAAGCCTAAGATACAAAATTATTGAGAGGATTTTAGATCTATTAGGTGACATATTTCTTTTTTACCAAACAAGATTCACCTCTTAACTATTTATAGGTTGCCCCTTAATGAAACTATTAAGAGATAAACAAACAACCCTTTGAAGGGTCAAAATAGTTTATCTTGGAGGGGTGTTTGGTAATTTTACATAACGGCTGCAATCCCTGTTAAACCGTGGCGAAATTAGGGATTTTGTCATTATAATTTGAAGGGTCGATCGCGATTGAGTCTTTTATCATCTTACTGTATGGTTTCATAACTTCATTATCTCATCAAGATTTCGTGCTTATAGTTTTTATGTGTCGTTTCACATGTGAAATTTGATGTTTATATATTCTTGTTTGATATGTGAAACGTTTAAATTTAAGATCGTTTTCGTCATAAACAAAACAAATGTTTATATATGAAATGTTCATAACCACCTTTTTCCAAACATAAATCACCATACAAATACTCATTTCACACTTGTTCACATGAAAATTGGTTTGTACGGTTTATTGGGTTTATAAGTATGTGCGTGCGTGTGTGTGTGTATATATATATATATATATATATATGTATATGTACATGTGTATATGTAATTGGTTTGTACGGATTATTGGGTTTGTAATTCTTACCATGTACATTTACGATATAAGCTAGCTATACCTTTTGATGATTAGGGTTTTGATACTATCACCCATCGGAATCTTGTTAATTGACCAAAGAAATTAAGATGTAATACGTGTTTGTAGATTGCGATCAACGCTACTAAGATACTATCATTAGTTTCCTACTTATATATCTCATACTTATCGGTCTAAGTTTGCTAACTTATATTCATAATACTTACCCTATTGGTATTCGCAAATGCAGGCTATTTCAACAACGATAAGCGGAAAAACTACTCCCACCAAGAGGCCAAGGAAGAGGAAGGTGAGTTCAATTAGTGTTATATATGTGTGTGTGTGTGTGTATGTGTTTGTTGATAGTCTACTTTATATGTGTTAGAATATGTGAAATCCTTTTAAATATTTGTCAAAACGGGACCTTATAGATTAGAGAACGAAGGTTCCTATATATGCGTATCTATCTATCTATATCTATATCTAGATATAGATATAGATAGATCTATCTATATCTATATATATATATATATATATATATTTATATATATATATATATATATCAGGTTTGATGGTCTGTTTCAAATAGATGTAGGATTGTTTAACATATTACATATGGGGCTTAATTAGACGGTGTGGTTCATTGTTCTTCATTTCTATTGTGTGTTAATATTGAAATCCCGATTTTTAAGACTCATATGTTAGTCATCGAGTCTTTTCTTATTAGATATATGTACTAGAAAAGATATCAACGTAGTTCGTTTGGTTCTTATAGATAGAACAAAATGAATTTGAAAAGAGTATATGTTTAAGATTCATTGACTTGTCAATCACATAAATCTTGTGTGTGTATATGTGTGTGAAAATGTGTGTGTGTGCGCACGCTGATTTTAGAGTTACGTTGTCGTGTACACAGCAAAGAGAAACTTTGAGGGCTTTTATGGAGGAACACATAAGGAAGAATAAGGCGCGGAGGGTGAAGAAGGTAAACCATCCTCGCTTATTTTTCTCCTCTTTCTATCAGTCTTTAACGTGTGTGTTCTATTAACTGTTTGATTTCAGAAGGGTTTGATCGATGGTTGAGAAACAGTAAACATCCGTTCAAGAATTTATATATCG